TTCTCCATCAGCTGCGCCCACACTGTAACTGGCCTGTTCTGGGCCTCATTTTCAATACACCTGCCTCTGCTACTAACTGCCTTGGGAACCTACAGGGTTATCATGCAGATCCCTGTGGCCTGTTTTCCTGGTCCTGGCTGGTGAGGGGAGGAGCAGGACGGTAAAGTAAGGCGGGATGCTCTCTAAGTATATCGTGCTGAATGGTGTGGCTCACAGGCCAGAAGCATCCTCACTGTGGGGAGTATGGATGCTCCAACATGACATCCAACATGGATGTCCCAAACATGACTCAGGCTGCAGGTAAGCCCAAAGTGACTTGGCACACACTCTCAAATGGCCACCTGATGCCTCTCAGACTGTGGGCACTGGTAAGACTCACAATAGCGTATCAGGGAACGTCACAGAAGAGAGGGCAGAAGGAACGTAAGAGCGAGTGGATGGGGCACAGTACTATGGAACACTGACCTCTGGGTATGATGTGGCCATTGTGCCGCACACTCACAGCAGCTGTGATGACAGTGGGCCACCAACAGCCTGCCATAGCCCCTCCTCTCCCTGAAGAGGTTGGAACTACAGGCGGCTAAAGATTGTTAGAGGAGGGAGAAATGCCTCTTCTCTAGCATTCAAACCTCACCAAATCACCAAAATGAACAAAAAGACACGAAAGTATACATACTCTCGAACACACACAAGAAAGAGAGAGAGATTTCATAATGAAACCATGACCATGTGTAATTAATATGTGATTTTTCAAAAAAGAGGTTGTTCTTTGTAACTTCTGGAACCTTCCATGGAAGACAAACTGGACCCTAAAATGTATATGCCCCAGAAGGCATCAACGTACCAGTTACTTCACAACCCTTTTGAGTCCCAAGGATGCCAGGCAGTGCTCACACACCAGCTTTGATAGCTGGCATTGCTCCTTGTCCCTTGAATCGATTCTCACCCTCTCAGCCCACAAACAGGCTAATGTACAGTAGCTATCCACTGACCCCTCACAGGTCCTTTATCCACATTCCAAAATGAACTTCCCTTCACTTTTGCCACAGAGAGGGACCTTTCTGAATACAATTACTGTTTTCTAATACTCCCTGCAATTCCTTTAATAGTTTCAGATTATGTTCAACATTATAGAAATCACTCTGGGCCACATTTCTTCCAAGCAGACTTCATCAACTTCGATTATTTATATATTTACAAATGATACTCATGGAGCAGATGGCAGCTAGTAAGCCTGCGACAAGTGGGGAGAAAAAATGAATGGGACAGAACGTAAGCTCGATGACTCGTCCATTTAGTCTCTGATGGAACCATCTCCCATTCAGTGGAAGCCCATGCAACAGCCGGTCAACAATTGGATTAAAATAGCACTCAGACTCAAAGCGCTTGCAGACTCCTGATCTCTTCTAGGAACAGCCTGCCAGTCCAGAGCAGCTTCCCAAGCAGAACTGGAATGACGGGGTACAGAGGACAGGATGGTGGCACCAGGTGAGGGCAGAGAGAGCCTCGCAGAGGGGAAGCAGCAGACGTTTACTGAGCACCTACTGTGTGCAGTACTCGCTGTTGCATCCACCTCTGTGTTGATCCCAATGCCATCTCCAGAGCCGGCGTGACTCCCCTATCAGCAGTCAATGTGGGCAATCCGTGCCCCAAACCCACACTCTCAGTGCCCCTGACAATAGAAAAGATGGTGGGAGGGGTAGTAATTGCCCCACATTTGTATCCTTGTCCTCCACCCAAGGCCCATCCAGCCTTCAGGACCATCTGAAATCTACATTCTAAAGTTCTGCCAAATCGATGTAAAGTGGGTCCATTTGAGACGAAGAGGAAGTCAAGTTTTGGCTAAGAACAGGAAGACGATACACAGATTCTAGAAGATAGAGGATGGGTGTCACTAGCACATGGAAGGTAGATTGGAGGGGGCAGAGCAAGCCTCTGGACCTAGAGCTATGGATACTGGAGGGCACACACAGTCTTCAGCAACCTATAGAAAACACACACCTCTTGGGAAAGTTAGGAGTCCTCGATCCCTGGCCTCCTCCCACTTTCTCTCTGGAAGCTTCACTGCAGTTAAAACAGAGAGGAGCTCCTGCAATAGTTCTGTCTGTGCTCTGACAGGCAAGACTGCCATGACTACTGCCATAACTGTCCTGCTCTTGGGGCTTCCATCACATAACTGTGATGCAGACACAAGCCCATGCCTCATCTGCCCATTTTACAGAGAGGAACACTGCACAGAACCCTGGACATGCACGTGTAAGAGACAGAGAAACTGGATTAAATGCTGACCCTACTCTTCTGGGTACCCTGTGCGATGGGCACCAACTGGAATGATTTCACCTGTTGGCCAACAGGAAAAGAGGGTTTCAAGGTGACACTGACCTAAGGCTGCATGCTGACCGTACTATGAAGTGATGTTGGGGGTGTTTACCTGATTAAGAAAGGGCCTTACCACAGCACAGGCTGGTCTTGAACCAGTGACCTCCCTGCCTCATCATCCCCAGTGTTACAATTACAGGTAGACGTCACCATGCCCAGCTCAAATAACAACAATTTCAAATCTACACAGCACAGCCTCAGATGGGTTTGCTAAAGACAGCCAAGTCCCATACCACCAAAGCCACAAGAATGGATAGTCTCTCCAATCAAAGAGATAGCAGAGATACTGAGCACGAGGCCACACTCTCCTGGCATCAGTGTCTCTTAGGAGTCCTTCCTGTGGCCCTGTCTCGGGATTCTTACGTAAGGCCTGCCAGGGATTAGGATCCATGACTTTACTTCAGGAAGAACCACCAGGGGACATCGTCAAGGTCACTTCCAGGCCAGATGTTGACCTTGAGATGCAAACAGAATGCAGTCACAAAGAACTGAGGGGAAACCATCACTTTCTTACTCACTCTGTCAGAAAATAGGTCCATGGCTCCTGGAATAAGCCAGGCAGCCTGCCAGGCATCAGGAGACAAGGCATTCGCAGCTCGGCAGGGCCGTCAGAACCCCAGGCTAGTTCTGCAGCCCTGAGACTTAGCTGATGGCCCTGCACCTGCCTCTGCAGGCTGAGAGTCCTGGGAAGTCCTGGCCTCACTCCCAAGTCTGAGGGAGATGAAAAGAGTCCCTCTTGCCACACAGGTGACTGTGGCCGCCACGTGAATTATCAAGCAGGCATGCAGCAGTGTCACTGTGTGGAGGAGCTTGTCTGCCTCCTTAAATGAATGGAAGTGAGCTGCACATGGTGACACGCCCAAGGTCTCAGCACTCAGGTGGCAGAGGCTGGTGCATTTACAAGTTCTGGGCCAGCCTATGCTATACCATGAGATCCTGTCTCAAAACAAACAAACAAACAAACAAACAAAACAAGTAACAGTAGTTCTGACTCATTGCCTGTCCTGAGGTGAAACGCCAAATCACTACCTTCTCCTCCAAGGTCTTCAGAGACCTACACAGAAGGCTTTGGACACGAAAAAGGACAGGGATGGCTGTCAGAGAAAGCAACATTTCTTTAATATTTCCCAAAGTGCACAAATACATCTTAGGCCTTTATCCAAAAGCCATTTCTATGTACCCCTCTCTAATACCCTTCAAACAACACAACACATATTCTCTCCCCCCTACACACACACACACACACACACACACACACACACACACACACACACTCTCTCATAATCCACAGCATATCTATTACAAAGTGCATCCCAGGAAGAAAGCCCAACCAACTGACCCATTCTGCATGGCCCACCACAGGAGAAAACCAACCTCTCCCCAGTCTCCTTCCCAGTTACATGCAACACAGGCCCTGGGAAATTATCCCAGCTGGCAACAGTGCCAGCCACCTCCGCTGTCATCTGGCCATAGCAAAAAAAAAAAAAAAAAAAAAAGATGCTTCCTTTTATGCACACAGAATACAACCCTCCAAGAATAGGAAGAATCTCAAAATCAGAGTGGAAGCTCCTTCACAGGGTGTCACTATTTCCTCTGGACCTCGGAGGTAGCAAAAATATGGCTCCAGTGATTATGGGATGGAAGTTAAGGGCAAAGAAGGCAGAAATGAGGAAGCATAAGGGCTGACTTCTCAAAATTTACCATCCACCAATTCATTTCACAACTATCAACAGGGAGGCCTCCCAGTACGCCAGGCACATGTGTCTTAGGGGATGGAGACCATTAGAAGGTGAAGTGACATTCCTATCCTGTACCTCAAGACCAGGAAATCTAGTCTCATTTACTGTAGGCCATAACTCAAAGCAGCCCATTTTACAGACATGGAGCCTAAGACCCAGAGAAGGCAGCCAACTTGCCCAAGGTCACAAAGCTGGTGAGTAGCAGAACCTGGAATTAGACAGAGGTGCACAATACACGTGACTCTCCCTGCTGCGCCACCTTCATACTCAAGCCCTCCCCCAACCCCTCCATTTCTAGCGGCAGGGTGGGGATCAGACACAAACCCCTAGGGCTCTGCCGGCAAAGGAAGTTCGGGTTCCTCTTTCCTCCCACCCCAGACACAAGACCCACATTCACAGGACACGTTTCTTCCAGACCTACTGTGTCTGCACCGCCCCCAGAAAGCACTGCTGGCTGCAAATGCATCCACCTCTGAACCCTGAACTTCCATTAAAAAAAAAAAAAATGATGATGATGATGATGAAGATGAAAACATAACGGGCAAAGAGGAAGTGCTGTTTAAACGCGGCGGGGGTCGGAGCAGGAGGAAGTCGAGCCAGTGGGAGTCTATTCGCCCTTTTGGTTCCTCAATTCCTGGCCTGGAACATCCCGCCTCCCCCCGCCCCCCCCCCCCATGAAGTTAGCGGGAGGGCAGCGTGGCGCCTGGGTCAGGCCCCGTACCGCTCACCTGGCTTGCAAGAGGGGTGTGCCCCGGGACGGCCACTAGGACCGGGCGCCCCAGCCTCAGGGTGCACGGCGCCCTAGGCGCTCGCTCCCTCCCAGCAGCCGGGTGACCCTGGGCGGCGACGCCGCAGCGGGCTCCCCGCGGGCCCTGCACGTACCTGGCGGCCCGACGAGCTGGCGGCGGGAGCCTGCGGTGCACACTCGCCGCTTCCGGGTCGGCGGCTCGCGCGTCCCCGCCGCAGGTTCGCGAGCGGCCCCGCCGCGGCGGTAGCAACAGCAGCAGCGGCGGCGGCGGCAGCTGCAGCGCCTCGGCCCCGGCGTGGCCAGAAATCGCTATAAAAGGAAGAGGCGGCGAGGAGGAAGAGGAAGCGCTGTTTACCTTCGCAGCCCAGCCCGGCGCCGCACAAAAGGAGGACGCGGCGACGCGCCGCCCCCCGCGCCCCGGCCCCGCCGCACCACGGGCCCCGCGTCACCGCGCCCGGGACCGCCCCGCGTCGCCCCCGCCCCAGCCTGCCGGGTGACCTTGGGCGAGTCCCGGGTGTTTAGGCTCGACCCCTAAGGGTGCTGGTCCCCTGCGGTCCCCTCCTCACCTGGGATGAGGGGTCGAGAAGTGCACGGCTCGGGCCCTGCCACCTGCCTAGCTGCTCCTGGACCGCGGGAGCCATGCGAAATTCCTGCCAGGCAGAAACACCCACAGGGTCCAGTGGTGCAAACCCACGGGGACCAATAAAGCAGAGGCCGTGCGAGGTGGGGGTCGGAGCTACCACATGGTCATCCCAGGACTTGTAATTTAGTGAGGGGAAACTCCCCAATTAAGATCTCCTTGCTCTGATTCCCATTTCGGTTGCTGTGGGAAACTCTGTCTTTCCCCTTGCCTAGGACATGGTTAAGGGGCATCTTCTTTGCTCTCCTTTACTCCACTTCCCTCAAGCCCTCGTCATCGTTATCTTGATATTCAACCAGATTTTTCCGGAATAACTAGTGTTCTGTAAAATATCTTTTTACATGCCTCTAGCATGGCATCAAAAGGGTTACACCCGCTGCTGCTGCTTTCATTCCTCCAGCAATGCTGGGTGTTTTGGGGTGTGCCCAAACAGTTCTTTGGGACTGATTTACCTTGGTCCATTTCATCGTGAACAAAACTGTGTCTAGATTTTCCTTAACCTCGGCCAGTTCAGGGAACTGGGGTGCTGAGATGGGCTCCAGCAGCACTCGCAAGGACTTTTGGTAGGGAGGGATCCTTGTGCCATGTAGAGCCTCTAAATGATAGCTGGCTTGCGCTGGGACAAGCAAGAAAAGGTGTGTGTCCCACTTGGAACAGGAGACCGGAATAGCGAGGACAGATTTAGGCCACAGGAAGAAAATAATTGTCTGGGAGGCTTAAGGGCATGAGTTCAAATCCTCCCTCACCACTGCACTTCATGACCCTGGGCCAATATCAAAGGGCATGAGTGCCCTTGGCTGTGAAGGAGGGATCCCATGCCATCTTACAGTGTGAGGAGTGGTCTGGACAGCTATAAACTTAAGGAGAAACAGGTTCGAACCTGAGGAGCAGAGCAGCCTGTGAAACAGGCCTTCCTCATTCTAGACGTGACATTCCAAGTGAACCAGGTGCCAAAGGCTGTGCCCCCTTCACTCAGCTCTCACCTCAATTCATAAATCGGCCTGCCCAGAGTTATGCATGAAGAGGCTGAAGCTGGTACAAATGGCATCAACCCGAGGTCATACCAATCACATACCAGTGTAGCCAGGCACATATGTACCCAGATTGTCTCACTGAAATCTGGCCTAATCTCAGCTTTACTGTGCAGTGGAACAGACAGTAAGGACTCCGTGTGCAGAACCTAGGGGGGCTGCCGCCATTGGTGCTACTACTCTTTGGGATAACTGTTAAAGACACAAGGACCTGGGGGGTCTTCAAACAACTTAGGACAATTGGAGTGCAAGCCTGGGGCAGGAGGTGGGGAAGAACTCGGAGGATGAGGGTGTGGTCAGGGGGACCATGCTTAGCCTGCACCCCACTGGAGTCCAGCCAGTCACACGTTTGTGCCTCGGGTAGGAAAGTCTGTTCCCTAACCCCAGTGACACTGAGTCTCACTTGTTCAACAGGAGCCTGATGCACTTGACAGACTCAAGCAAATGGAGAGCTGGAAAGAGCCTGTGGCAACTCTGTGGCAGTCTAGATATCAACTCTGTCTGACAATAGTGAACTCCAGCATCCTGTAAGGAACACCACCTGCCATTCCCAACGATGCAGGCACAGGCAATTCACGTAACCCCCAACTCTAATTTGTCCGTCTGTAAATAGGAATGATAATGTCACCTTCTGGTATGAGAACTGACTACATGAGACAATGAATTTTACATGATTTGCCAACTGTGATGCCATCTTTTTATCTTGATATTAAAATCTGGATCTTGTGGCATCTTTCAGCCCAAAAAAAACCCTGCAATTTCCTTCATGTATGCAAAAGCCCTTCAAAAAGATGCCTCTAAAATGTGTCTTTCAAGATTGCAGGAACGGATGCTGTCCTGTGTAAAAGTGACAGAAGGTGAAAGTCAGGTGACTCTGGCACTTACTTTTGTCCTGCTGGGTTAGCAGTTTGCAATTAAAAAGATCCTACATTCAGTCGTGACCAAAATAAACCCAGGGAAGGCCTCTTACCTGCTTGCCTGCCTTCCCAGCCCTCTGACCATTCAGATCCCAGAGATGAGGCTGACCTAGCTGGAGCCTGGCCAGATGCTGGGCCGGGACAAAGCAGGGCACACGGAAGATGCTCACAGATGGCACACCAGCATCTCAGAGGGAGCTCAGTGAAGCAGAGTGTAGCAAGAAGCTAAAGTAGAAACAGTAGTTTTTCATGGAAGACACAGGTAATCTGAGCCTTCTATAGCGGATGCACCAATTCCCATTCAGGAATCAGAGGTGTGTGGCCAACTTGGGCCATAGAGTGAGGCCTTGCCTCAAAAACATCTGTGGGGTGTGGCAGCATAGAACCTTTAATCCCAATAGTCAGGAGGCAGAGGCAGCCAAATCTCTCTGAGTTTGAGGATCTGCTCTACATAGCGAGTTCCAGGCCAGCCAGAGCCACACAGGGAGACCCTGTCTCAAGAAAAACCCAAGCAAACAACCAAACAAAATGGCCTGTGAGAGCTCCTGGGGGCTGCTAAAATTGTGGGGGGGGGGTGAGGGATGGAAAGTGAATGCATTGTGGATACAAGTTTTCCTTTTGAGGTAACAGAATGATTTTGGAATCAAATCACAGTGATTGATGGACGTGAAAAGCACAAGGAATGTCTGAATAGCTTTCAAATCTTTCAAATCCTGGTTCCCTAGATGTTACATGAAATTCATTATATTAGAATATCCAACTGTATCTGCAACCAGACTACAGAAATGGACTAAAGAGTGGGAATCTTGGCGAGTGGGTGTGTTGAGTCCTTGGGAGGAGTCACTGCCTACAAATGGTCCTATAGCAATTGAAACTAAAGCAAATCTTATTAACACAGAATGTATATCATTGTTGCTATGTAACTGAATCTGTGCTTTTAGGAAAATAAAGTGTGAAATGCCATTCATATACTTGGATTAGAGAGATTCTAAATCAAATCTTTACTAGCATTTTTTTTTAACATGAGCTTCTTTAGCCCAGGCTGTCCTTAAATTCTTCTAGTATCCAAGGATGACTTCTGAGCTTCTGAGCCTCCTATTTCTTTACAGGTGTGTACCACCGCACTGTTTTTGTCTTGTTTGGGTTTTTGGTTTGGTTTGGTTTTATTTGTTTTTTTTTTTCAAGACAGGGTTTCTCTGTGGAGCTCTGGCTGTCCTGGAACTCACTCTGTAGACCAGGCTGGCTTCAAACTCAGAGATCTGCCCGCCTCTGCCTCCCTGAGTGCAGGGATTAAAGGCATGGGCTGCCATTTCCCCCCACCCCATCACATCAGTGTGTGTGTTTGTTTTGCTTGCATTTTTATTAGCAAGGGTCACACTCTGCCTTGGCTTTCTTCATGTAAAATGGGCTGATGGTGAGAACTGCAGCAAGGGATTGTGGGAACTGTGGAGTGATAGGGCTAAAATTTCAGTTGGAAGGTGCTTAATGATGGTCCTGTGGCTATTTTCACAGGACCATCATATGGTAGATGAAGTCTTTCAAAGTGTGGATCCATGAAAAAAACAAGCAAAAGATGTTTGTAGAGTATGTCAGTGCCCCGGGCTGCTGTGATAAGGGTGACAAGCCTGTCTCATGCTATGGTGTGGATAGGCAATAGTCCCACAAAGGCACGGCGTGGAAAGCTTGGTTGCAGAAATTGAAACTATTGAGAGGTCAGTGACTCCATTGACTAACCCACAGGAAAGAGCTAGGCGGTAGGGTCTACTTTCATGGAGTGGGCTGGAAGTGCCTTTGAGTAGATCTTATCCTCTCTCTGACTCGCCTGCTTCATGCTCATAAACTGAAATCTATAAAACCATAGTCAAAAATCTTTCCTCTACCATGTTGGCTTCACAGCAATGAGAAACTGAGTGCACAATTCTAAACACTGGGTTTGTTTCTCATTTGTTCTCGAGGCTGGAGTCTGAGGTCAAGGTGGACATTGTTGGGTTGAGGAGAGGGCCTAATTGAAGATTCCTGACCTCATGTGTCCTCACATGGTGAGGCAAAGAGCTCTCTCTGGCTCTTAAGGGCACCAGTACCCTGTGGCTGAATGACCATGTGTCCCACCTCCTTGTGTTGCATGACATGTGGAGTTAGGACTTCAATATATGGATTTGGAGACCACATCAAAATTCTTCCCATTGTAAGGTGATTTTAGAAGTTTCTGTGTCAAGAGCAGTGATATTGGAGTAGGCATAATCATCTCCTTCCCCTCTCCATCCTCACTGAACTCTGAGGACATGTGGTGAGAGAAAAAAGAGCATGTTCAGGGTATAGTGCTGGCACTTTAGAAAATGACAACTATCAAAAAAGGCAATGAGGGGGCTGGAGAGATAGCTCAGAGGTTAAGAGCACTGGTTGCTCTTCCAGAGGTCCTGAGTTCAATTCCCAGCACCCACATGGTGGCTCACAACCATCTATAATGAGATCTGGTATTCTCTTCTGATCTGCAGGCAGAACAGTGTATACATAATAAATGAATAAATCTTTTTTTTTTTTTAGAGGCATTGAAGAAACTGGGGCTGGTGTGGTGGCACATGCCTTCAATCCAGCACTTGGAAGCAGGTTCACATGAGTCTCTGTGAGTTCAAGGTCAGCCTGGTCTACACAGGGAGACTCTTGTCTCAAACAAACAAACTTATAAGTCTTGAGCATGTCCCTAGGTGTCCCTAGGACATCACTCCCTAAGGAAAGTGGGACTCACATTTGTTCTCAAGGTATTGCTGTGAATTTT